GTGGGGCGGCCCGCCCCAGCTCGCGCCCAGGGCCCCGGCCCGCCCCCACCCAGCCCCGGGCCAGTCCGCTGGCCCCGCCTCCCCGCCGCGTCCGGCAGACTTCCCAGCACAGGTCCAGGTCACCACAGCTGTTCTTCCGCCCCCCCCCCAACTTCGACGCGCAGTTACAGAAGTAGCTGCTTGTCCGGGGTCCTTCCCCCCTCCCAGGCGCAACTCCAAGGGCTGACACTCGAACCCACCCAGCCTCAGACCCTTCCTGGGCAGATTCTCGTGGGGAACACGGCGGGGAGCCCTCACCAGGCAAAGCATTCGCCATCGCCAAGCACCTGGGAGCCACTTCCTATACTTAAACCAGGGAAGTTGCAGGGTATGAGCTGGAGACACAGGAGAGGGGAGGCGACTGACTGGGGTACACAAGCAACAAGAACCGGGGTGCCAAAAGGGAAGCCAGGGAGGAAACACCTGCTGCCAAGGCGGTGGGAGTCAGTTGTTTCCGTTCTTGTTTTTTCCTTAGTAGGCAATGAGAGCTGTTAGTAAAAAGCAGACTGGCCTGCCCACCGGATAGAACCCTAGACCTAAGTGGGGAAGGAATCAATCACAGGCCTTTGTGGTAGCCCTGAAGGGATCAGGGACAGGGCCCTGAAGTGTCTGGTGGTCTGTATTCCTTGGACACTCTAAGGGGAAGAAATCTGAAAGGGAGGTGGAGGGACCCAGGGGAACAAGGAGGAAGCTCAGTAACAAACAACTTGATCAGAGCCATAAGCAAAGTCTGAGGGGGCAGAGGAAAGATGCTGCAATCCTGCTGAAGTGTCAGCAAGGGCTTCAGAACCCAGACTCTTTCTGAGGCCTAAGCCCATGGCATGCCTCAGCACAGGCCAGGTCTCATCAGATGAGCCACTTGAGATTCAGAGCCATCTCATGGAGCCTCTCCAACAACATCCTGCTGAACCTGACCACCAGCAGAAGCCTCAGCTCCTCCCTACTCACCCTGGTCACCTCTTTGAGGAGCTGGGAACCACAGACTGCTCAGTAGGTGACTTTCCAGAGGATCCTGCCGTTTGATCACCTGACATACTCAACATCAGATCCCGGTCTACATGCTTCCTCAGGGTGTTCCATGGCCCAAGCTACCCACGACTTTAGGTATGTATTTACTGAGTGATTTTTACTAATGTCTCAACTACATGACACCGGGACCTTTACAGAAGGTAGGGAATGCTGTAAATCTTCTATAGGCAGGTGAGGAGCTAAAACAAAACTGCAAGGGACACCAGGAGTACAGCCCCCTCCCCTAAGCCTCATTTCTTGGGCTCTACATACTCCCAGCTCTGCAGAGTCCATCATCATCCTCATTCTAGAGGACTCTGAGGTTCCAGGTGACAATTTGCTGTAAGTCATAAGCCATGGCCAGGTTCTAAACTCAGGCATTCCACCTCCCAAACGTGGCACCCATGCATCCTTGAATACTACTGCTGAGATGGCTGTGTGCCCACGTAACAGGAACACAGTGGGGCAGCAGAGAGATCTTGATAACAGCAGTGGGACCCCTGTCCTGAAGAAGAAAAGAGCTGACACAACAGTGCATCGGACTGTGCATGGGCGTGGTATGTGTACGCCCGATTTTCAGTTTAGCTGACTGCACAGACTGTGAAAGAAACCGGCCATGGTTGTGTCAGGCAAATGCCAATCCCTCTGCTCCTTGATCTTCCCTTTACTTCTGTTGAAAAGAAGTTGAAAGACTTAGAGCCCCAGCATACTCACGCTCAGTGCTAAAGTGTGAAGGAAAGTGAAAAGTTCCCTAGAAGTATAAAAAATTGGGAAACTGGTTTGATCCAAAATACAAGCTCAACTCATCATCTTGGACAAAACACATCCATAATGGGTGCTGAAAGGTGAGGAAGACTGACCACACAGGTCATGTCAGATCTTGCCAAGACTTTTCCTTCTAAGGCAGTTAGATGGGAAACAGATCAGGAGACCATAACCCACCAGCACCACATCCATCTCCATGCTCATTTGTCTAAATTCCAAGACTCACAAGGGGGCTATCCCAAGAAGAAAGGGCACAGCAGAGAACTGGGACAGCACAATTCTTGAACAGGAATAACAGAAAACATTTAGTCTAAGGAGCAAGAATCCAGAAGGTAAGTCATCATCAGAGACCGTGGGCTCTCCAGGTTTCCTGGGCAGGGGTAGTAAGGGAAGGGCAGAAACAAGAGCCCAGTGTCTAGACTCTAGGGATGAGCCTGGGATCATATTATGTGCAAATGGAAAAACAGGAAGATCTAGCCGCCTGATAAGAGAGCATTAAAATGGGTAACAAGCTTGCCTGCCTGCTCTACTACTGCCAAGAAAGAAGTAGAGAAAAGAAAATGGAAGTTATTCCAGGAAATTGCCTCTTATAAACTATGCCCTAGACACCTGAAATTGTTTGCAGTTTGGAAAGAATTCATGCTCTAATTTTAGGACTGAGTTTGGCTTGAAAGCATCAGTGGAAGTAAAACCAAAGTTTTAAACCCATGTTTCAGGTTCCTTTATCATTCCTCCCAGTATGTCCGTCCCCAAACATATGGAGACAGAGAAACTCAGCTGAGAAAAGAGATTAGAACAATGTATCACTGAGCAATGCCTCTGAATCTTTCATTAGCCTCCTTTTAAAATAAAGGTATAAATAAATTCAGCTATAACACCCATACAGTGTGTGGCTAAGGTTATCACTGGTCCTGGCTAACACCCTAACACCCATTGAGTGTGGTGCCCTAGCAATCTGGTGACCTCATAAGAAGCCTTGAGAGAAATGGCTGGTGAAACAGTCAGGTGAGGGCAGAGCTCTGTCAAGTGAAAGATGCTAGCTCACCCTAAGAAGGAAACATGTTATCAAGAAAGCTGTCAGGGCATGGAGTTTCTCTCCCTGGAGGTTTGCAGCAGAACCCAGGCAGTTTTGTCAGGTGTGATGCCATAAAGCAACTCACTACACAAGTGATTTCAGCATATGCCATTCCCCTTAGGCAAGTCCTTCCTGCTCAGGATTCCTTCTAATAGGAAAATCATCCCTAGTCTGTCTTCCTTTAAAGAGTGAGGGAAAGCTCCTAATGGACTGGACATGCCCAGTGGTATGAGCACTAGGTGACAAAACTCCTTGGTACTTTGGGCTCTGGAAGCACTAAAAGGACAGTAGGAACTCCCAAGTAGGATGAGGAAGGTCTTTTCACACAGCATGTAACCTGAGAGATGGCTCTGAAGGTATCGCACAGAGATCCTCAGGGATCACTGTAATCATTGTACATAAACATAGACTGGCCACCACGAATTTGATGAGTGAATCTGGGGAAGGTGATATAGCCAACCTGAGACCCACACATAGCAGCAGCCTGGCCCCAAAGGGACCAAGATGAGCCTCAGATAAGAGAAAGAACAGCTGAAGGCCTGGGTACCCACTCAGGCCTGACTACCCAGCCTTCAGGCTACTGGGGGTGGGGGTGGAGGTGGGGTGAGGAGACAAGGACTCAAGAATGGCAAGAAAGGACAGAAAGAAATGAAGGGAAAGAAAGAAATTCAACAAAGAGTAGGGTATAGAATTTTTAGTTACTGTCTCCAGTAAATGTGAGTCCTTTCTGTAACTGAGCTACTAAAAAGCAAAGAAGGGCTGGAAGGCAGACCTCCTGACCCTAGCCCTGGCCACCACAACCTGCTGTCAATACCCATACCACCTACTTTCTGCTGTTTATCATCACTGAGAAAAGCAGGCACCTTGGTATAGGTAAACTGAGTTTAAAGAAGCCTTCAAGGAAGGAGCAGGCAAGTGTGAAGACAACTTAAGGGACATCAGTTTGAAAACACTTGTCATCTTAAAGAACTGGGATATGACAGAGGAGGAAGAACCCAGCACTCACTCCAAGAAATGGAGTTCTATCCTCTAGCTAGAGACTAAACTTCCCCCTGCCCTTCTTTACTTTTCCACCCCACAAAGAGGCAAACTGCAAAGCTGAATGGGGTATCAGAGCCAATGCAGGATCTGACATAACCCTTCAATTCCAGTTTTCCTTAACTGTTCAGCTGTTCCACAAAACGATGATCCCAGATACTAAGAGCAACAAGATGGAGCAAATTCAGGACAGGCTTTAAATTAAGGATGTCTTCCAAGGCTTTTGTCAACCTGCTAATTCAATAAAAGAACACAATTTTCATTCAAAGCTTTTCTAGTGTAACTACTAAACAATCAAGTACAATCACTGTTACTGCTTAATAAGTAAAAGGCCCAGGATACTTTTTCAAAAACAAAATGATCCCATGTGCTCCTAGTGGCAATCTAGGTGAAGCATCTTCTTTCAAGAAGAGGACAACAGGGCAGAAGTTAAGTAACATAGCTCAGGTTGTACACTGACCAAGAAAGTCTGAGCTAGACCACAAATCTTACTGCTTCCCAAATCAAGTTCTGTGTCTCTGTTCTTCCCACTAGGCTTCATGACCAAAGCTTTCTTAATGGGAAAGAAAGAAAACAGACAATTTAGGAGGAAGCTATGGAAACCATTTCTATACTCCAGCCCCCACCTTCCTAAAGTCCTGTTATCAGTAGTTTCCCAAATAGAGCAGTCTGCCTCTGACAAGGTAGTCCAGTTCAGCCTAAGCACAAACCCATTTGAAATCCTATTACCTCCCTGATGGAGGCCTTTGAAGGTAACTAATCTAACAGTCCATTGGAAGCTTGATTTCTTCTCATGGTCTCCTTGACCTAACCTTACCTACCTAATCTCACAATCCTTTACCACACACCCCCTGCAGTAGCCTCAGATGGAATAGAACAGGAACAAGTCTGCTGCCTAAAAGACTGAAGGCATGAAGGAGAGGTGACACTTCCTGTGTGCCATCAGGATAAAGGTTCGTTCTTTCTCATCAGGGCACAGGAGATGCCCGGACTTCCTGCATGGCAGCATTCCCAATTCCCCATTCAACAGTCTGCACAGTGCAGCAAATAGTGAGAAAGAAGACGGGAACCTTACCTCTCTTTTCTTCCTTCAGTTGCTCCCCTGGAGATCAAACCCCCATCCAGCACTCCATTTCCAAAACTGAGAATCAAATCTACCAAAGTGCAGCTTCTCTCCTGTCCACGTCCAAAGTCCATGTCCCAGTGGACCCTGAGAGGGTGGAGTCTGGGGGGGAAGGGGTGTGTTCAGGCCCTTCCCCCCCCACTCTGCAGATGGCAGTGTCCCTCCCAGGTGTCTGTTACATCCCTTCATTCAGCTGGCTTATTAAGCTTAGAGGCTAGTTACAGACAGGTTCCAGGTACAATCCCATCTCAAGCTCAGGCAAGGGAAGTCATCCACTGTGAGGACTGGTCCATTTGTGTTCTGCTGGAGCTCAGAAGAAACAGGCTTTGAAACCCGCATGGCCCAGGAGACTGATTTCTGTGTTAACCTGCAGAACATTTAAACATTATGACACTCTAACCTAATATATACCCAAGTAGATTTCTAAGATCTCCGTATTTATTACATTCCTTTACTATGCTCATCATCAAAAACTTAACTCCTCCACAGTTATACAAAGTACCTACTTTATTCACATACTGCACCCCATGGCCGAGTACAAAGATAACGTCCCCCACTCTCTAATCCTATCTGCCAAGCTTCTTAGGGTGTTGAGTGTTTTGATCCCCTAGCTCTTATCGACTGAACTAAATCCTTTCCAGACCTAGATGTTGGCACCTTCCCTGCTTCCTTCCCTTCAGCCCTCATGCCCCCACCGTTGCCCAAACTATGCCAAGGATGTAATTCCCAACCTCCATCCCACTCCTTCACTGGGCCACTCCGGAGAGCACTCTTCTGAGATATGAGGCCCGGGTCCTCCTTGCCATAGTCGTCTCCCACTTCCCAAGCCCTCCCAGTGGCCCCTCTGAGTTTATACCTAAACACACTCAGACACACAGCACCCCTCTTCCTGTAGGGGCGTGGCGTACACACCCCCCCCCCCCCCCCCCCCCCCCGCCAAGACTTAACTCCTCCCATCGTTCGCTCGGAACCCAGCGCTCAGCGACCCCACGGCAGACACACCGAGCTCCTCCCTGGACCAGCGCCGAGGATCCCCCCTCCCTCCCTCCCCGCGCGGGCCTCTTACCTGCACCCCACCCATCCGGTCCGGGCTGGGAGCCTCGGCCCGCCCCAGTCCAGGTCCTGGTCCCCAGCCCGGGCCGGGTCCCAGCCGCCAACAGGCCCCACCCCCTCGACCCCCTGCGGCCCGGCCCTCCCCTCGCACTCCTTTCCCCCTCCCACCAGCCACCGCAGCCACTTCCGCCCGCCCTCCGGAAGTGAGCCCCGGTAACCGCTGGCTCCCCACATCCCGCCTATTCGCCTGCCCCTTCCCCGCCCATCACCCCCGCCGCCGCGGGAGCACGGGAGGCGGGTCTGCTGGGGCGAGGCTGCTCTGCAGTGTCCCTGGGGGAAGACCAGGCGCTGCCGAAGCCCCCCACCCCCACCCCTGCGGGATAGCAGCCGGGGGCTCGGGGAGGACGCCAGGGGGCGGGGCCGAGGCTGCGGCCTGGAGCGGGAGCGTGCGTCTGTCTGCTCCGGACGCAGTGCGCATGCGTCCAAGTCCTCGGGCCCGTCGCTTGGGCTGACGCTGCTCGGACCTAACCCGGCGGACTTGGGCGGGGCCTCTGCGGCCGGAGGGCAGGTAGTGCTGATGGAGGTGGCTCAGTCGAGGCCTTCTTACTACCCCGCTCCTCAGCTGAGTTCCTGAGTAGCAAGGCCAGAAGAAAGTTGTTTAATTTCATCCATCACTCTTTTTCACTGCATCTCTGAATGAGGTAGGACCTTCCTAAATGAAAAGGGGGGTGAAGGAGAGCACCCCGTCACCGCTTCCTGAACAGGCACTGTGCTGCGCTCTTTATAATTAGTAACGGAGTCTTACCGGGTATGGTCCCCCAGAGCGACAGAGGTGTGACAGGTTTGCAGGAATAGTGGGGTTAGAGACGGACTCGAACCTTCCAGGCAGGGTGACTGACCGAATCTGTGATGCTTGGTCACATGGTACTGCCACTTACCAAGTGCCCCCTGTCTCCTTCAAAGAAACCTACCCCTGGAAGCACTGGACTTACAAGTTCTGAAATTGCCTTTTCCTTTTTTCCCTGGCTTTGAGCCGAAAAGAGTATCCACTAGGAGTTTTTGGAGTTCGTATGCCATCCTACTGGTGACATGTTTTATTATCTTGTCAGGAGTATGGGACAGATTCGCAGCATCTTTTTGCTTCCTTTTTGAAAAACCTGAACCTAGGCTTCTAGCATGTTTTCTGTCCAGGCAGTTTCTTCAGAGCAAAACAGTGACGATTTGAACATGTTCAGTGTTGGGAATGCAGCAGTTTGCTGGCTCAGAAGTCTTGAAATGATTTTTGTATTTGGAATGATGCCATCAGCTGGGGAGATGGCCCAGTCAGTAAAGTGTTTGCCATGTAAGCGTGAGGATCTGAGTTCAGTCCCCAGCATCCATGTAAAAAAGAAAGGGGGCGGGGGACAGGGGCACAGCAGCATGTATCTGTAATCCCAGTGTGAGGGAGGCAGAGACAGGCGGATTCCTGGGGCTCCCTGGCTAGCCAGTCTAGCCTAAACAACAAGCTCCAGGTTTAGTAAGAGTCCTTATCTCAAAGAATACAAATAAGGTGAAGAATGATTGAGGAAGACATGCAGTATCAGCTTCTGGCATGTGTGTATGTGTGCTTGTGCGCACATACACACATGCACAGAAAAAAAAGACAAGAAAAAAAATTATATTGCTACTATACTCAAATATATCAAGTCCACAAATAAGTTCCTTTCCCCAGTTCCAGACCTGTTTAACTCTTCAGCTATCCCTTCCAGTCCAGTTATTGGCAACTCCACTATCACCAAATGCCTAAGTCATCATCTTTTTACCCTCTCACATCCTGGAAAGCCTGTTGGCTCTGGCTTCACGTCGTGTCTAGGATCCAGCACCTCAGCATCTCCACAGCTACTTTCATCCTTCACCTGCCCAAATAGGTTTCTGCCCCACCCAGCAGCTAGGCTTCCACGCAGGTGTCCTGACATTTTGACATTTCTCTGTTCAGAGCCACATAAAAGTCCCTTTCACTTAGAATAAAGACCAAAAATCTCACATGCCCTGAAGTGCTCCATTATGTGACTAACTTCTCAGAGTGGCTTGCTCTCTCATGCTTCCTGCCTCTGCCACTCATTGCCATTCCTTGAGCCTACACCATTCTACTATCATGACTTTATATTGTAGAATTCAACTCACTTTCTATTTTACACATTCATTCAATTTGATGGTAAGAAAACCAATCTACTTAGTAAAAGACTAGAATTTAATGTTTTTAAATTTACCTGGTACCAGTCAGTTATATTCAGTCAAAAATTAGCTAATGCCCTTTCTTTGTACTTTGACATATTAGTATTTTTTAATTATTATGATGAAATGTACATTCAGTGTAGGCAAACAGTAAGTCCTATATAGACAAAAATGGGAAAAAAGATCTCTAAGCCTAGCAGCCAGAACCAACCAAACTTTTTAGATAGGTATATGCATATTTAGGATTATAGTGTAACTGACTTTTATAGCTTATTATATGTTAGTATCTCTCCATGTTGAAGTATATTGTTTCTGACATTTAATGACTGGGTGGCCTGTCATTTTACAATAATACCATAATTATCCTCCCTGCTTCCCTGTTTTTGTATATTTGTTTCCAATATACAAAAGGTTTTTGTTTCCAAAGCTTTTTACTTTCATAAAATTGCTTGTAGCAAAAATCTCTGTGCATTTCCTTAATTGTTTCCTGAAGATAAAGTTCTACAAGTAGTGTTAAAAGGTTCTAATAATGCATGCTGTTGGGAGAGCCATGGACAAGGGGCCCTGCTTTGACATTAACTTCTCCACATCCTGCCAGCTCTTGTCTTTTTTTTTTTTTTCCTTTGCGTTGTTGTTTCAAGTTAATTACTGGTAAAGTACAGTCTGATTTTGTGCATCAGCACATTAACTATTCACATCTTTTGTTCATTGCATTCATCATCATTTCACTCATTTGTAAAATATCAGCTAGAATATGCCATTTGTCACCCTCATTGAAGCCATTTTCCCAGTTTGCCATTTGTCTTTTAAGTCTCTTTATACATGCTTTGACACTGCAGGGCAGAATCTGGCTTGCTGTATTTACTTTGCCTTGAACACAAACTCCTAGGAGTAACCTAGAGAATTCTGTAGCAATTAGTACAACCTGAAGGACAGTAGCCTCCAAGGGCAAGGTCTCCCAGACTGTCATATGGGTTGGAGTGGCCAGAAGGAACCTGGCTGGGGGCTTGCAGACCCAGTGGGTTTCCCCTCCCTGTGGATGCCTTATGTTTCCACCACAAGCTGTAGGAAAATAGCCCCCGCTTCTTTGCCTTCCACAATCTCAGGGACACCTCATTGGTCAGCCAACTGCAAGGGTATTAGATTTCCAACCTCTACAGCTACAAAGAAGATACCAGACTGAGGAACTAACCAGAGTGCCCACCCAATTCATGTACCAGAGTTGTGCATTCCACTTTATTGTGTACTCTGATGCCTGCTTTAGTCAGTATAGCTAAATAGTTAAATTTTAATAACTGACATTAAGAGTCTCTACCCCAGTTGACCTTGGTTCTTGATGTTTCCTTAGTCATTTCCACACATTTTTTCAGATGGTATTATTTTAGAAATTATATTCTCTCACAGTTTTCTGGACTTCTTAGCCTAGCAAGTATTCTTCAGTCCTGAAATCTAGTAACAGCAGAAGTTGGTGTGTCTATTCACTTTTGTTTGTACTTTTATTCTGGACCATCTTTTAAAATTCTGACCCTTAGGGAACGGTAATCCTTATCTCCCTTCACCATACTTCTTAGCACTTCTGACAACAGCCTGACTCACAACAAAGTGCCTTGTGTTTCCTGAGTACTCCATGGCTTTTTTTCAGGCCTCCCAGCTCACGTCTCCCTCTTCCTTACCCAGCATGGAGGGCTCTCTGGAGCTCTCGTGGACACATAGTTCTTCACATTCTGCTTTCTTTTCAGGTGATCCCATAGAAGTTGTCTGAGGACTATTATCAACTTCAGGTAAACACATCTCCCATACCCCTTATCCTCTGTTTTCTAGACCTATAGATTCACCTGCCTGCTTAACATTTTCCCTTAAACCCCTTCACAGATAATTCTAGATTAAGTGTCCAAAGCTAAATTCCTTCCTGTCTTGTCCTGGCATCTCCATTTTCAGCAGATGTGTCCATCATCCACCTAGTAGCTGTCTCTGAAATGCAGTAGTCCATGATGTTCCTACATCCACCCAATCATAAACCCCACAAAGTTCATCTCTCAATTGTTTCATGACTCCAAATTCTTCTCTCAGGCCAGTCCGATTGTGGCATCTGATGCCCAGGTTCTGGGAATTGGGAGGCATATGAATCAGGCCTGCTCCTTTCCAGGTTTGACTGACCTGAAGAAAAGCTTCTTACAGGTGGCAAACCTTCAACAATAGTGACAGGCAGTTTCATCCTATCAAAGGACAATTGTATCCATACATCTTGGGTCCCACCTTCCTCGGGAATTGTTGGCTTTGCTTACTTCTTATTTTCTCAGTAGTTGATGCTGAGGAGAAATCTGAAGTCAAGTTGGTATTTCCCTTTGGGGGAAGCTTGGCCTTTCAGAGTGGTTGTCCATATGGTTTTCCTTTATCTTGGATGTTCAGTTAGTAGCAGAATTACTTAACTAGTTTTCCCTGGGTGCATAATGGCACTTTAAATCTAAGGATTCTTATTTTTCTATATTCCAGTTCTGTTACCACTCAACTGTGATATTTGGAAAGTTGCTAGAACTTTCTATGCCTCAATTTTCTCATGATTACAATAGGTATCATGATAGTCCCTAACCTTACTCAATTTGTATGAACATTAACTTAGATAATACATGAAAAGTACTTAGAACTCCCCAGTCTATGTAGTAAGGACTCAGAAATGACAGTTACTGTTCTTATCATTGATTCACAAATGTTTCTGGGCTGGGCTTCTTTGACTTTTTAAAAAATTTATTCCTTAACAATTTCATACAGGTATGTGGTATATCTTGATCGTGTCCTCCCCTAGACATCTCTTCCACTCCTCCCAAACATCTCAGCCTGTCCCCTTTCCACTAGCATGTCCTATATTTATTTGTATATTTTTTGTAACTCATTGGGTCCAGTTAGTGCTGGAATGTTGATTGACCCTGTGCCATTCTTGTGCAGGTGACCATAGTTGAGTGCGTTAATGAGTGCCACTGACATATCATGCATAGCCCACATTTCACCGCCCTCCCCAATTCCTCCAGCTCTTATGTTCCTTTAGCTTCATCTTCTGCAGTGTTTCCTGAGCCTTAGTGGGAAAACAGGCTGATAAAGATATTCCGTAAGGGCCGAGAACTCAACAGTCACGTTTTCTTATCCCTTTGACAGTTATGAGTCGCTAAGTGAACTTCTGCTCACCACAGGAAGAAACATCTCTTGATAAGGTGAGGGCAACACTACTCTATAGAGATAAACATAAATATTGAGAAGGCAGCTTGACGACATGCCCATTTACAAAACAACAGTAGCAGATTCCCCAGTAGGACCTCCGAAGCTTTTGACCAGACTTGTAGTATAAAGCATGAACTCCCACCTGTGGAGCAGGCAGGCCTCAAGTCCAGCCAGAAAGCAGATGGTTATGCACTATAATCTTCATGCCACTGCTGCCGCAAGGGCATGAGACTGTTTCTTCTGTACTTCAGGAGTCAGACCTACCATGGACATGTTTTGATTTCTTATTTACACTCTCCATTTCCTGGTCACCATATCTTTCTGAAATTCCCTTCCCCATTATGTTTCTCTGTATGTGTAATTCATTAATCATTGCACTGTTTTCTAAAGTTCGTTCCCTTCATCAATTCCAGGTGGCAAGGATAGAATTTCCTAGAGTACTAAAGATTAGTTTCTCCCTTTCCTTTTTTTCATGTTCTGTGTGACTTTTAAAAATGTTAATTTTTCTAGCCAGCATTAGCTCTGCAGATACAGGACCAGAAGATGTGGTATCACCAGAGATAAGGTATAAGGCACCATAAAGAATCCAAGTGAAACCCAGACTATTAAGCAGATTCTTGGGAATTTCATTTCAGTGGTGAGATGAGGCCTGTATCAGTACATAGAAAGTGAAGCACTTTCTTGCCTGGTTTCACCATGAAAGGTGAATTTATTCTTTCATATCTGGTCTTGATCTGTTTAAGCCTTGTATTGTGATTTTAATTATTTTTACTTTGGACATTTCTCCAGTTAAGTTACAGACTTCTTAAGAAAGGACACTGCTTACCTTAAAACCTTCATCTATTTCTATATTTCTTCAACTGGGTGAATATTTACCTACAGGCTCAGATGCTGTCATCTGATCTATGGACTCCGGAGATTTGGTTTCGCATCACAAAGTGAGGATATGGAAACCATCTTTATCCCTGGCAAGGTGTTAGAGGTGCCAGGGTGCTGTGTATCCCGAGGTTTCAGGGGAAGCACTTGCAGTGCCCTTTCCTCTTAGAAACAGAGAGAGCCCCGAGCATCCATGCCTGTTTCTTGCCTGGCCTCTTTTCTTGGAACTCTTAAATGTAATTAATGTCATAGAGAAAGCCAAGCAGTGCTTAAACACATTTCCATAGTCATATAAGGTTCTGGCTATTACCAGGTCTGTTTATGTCTGAATTTGGTTATTTCCATGCTTCCTTAGACTGGCTGTAGGAAGTTATCCTAGTGATACACAGTATTTGAAGCTTTGAATCAGAAGATGCAGTTTCCAGTACTGTGCCTCACAGGAAAAGGGCACAAAGGAGAAGGTAGGATAGGGGAGTGGTGGAGAAGCACCTTTAGGAATAGATGCCTACTTTGCCTTCAGGACATTTCGGGTCAAATGAAGAGGAAAAACTCATTCTCTTGAGTTAACAAATTGAAAATGAAGTGGATTCCTCCCCACTGCCCCCCAGTCCAAGAGCTGACGTGAAGAAGTGCTTGGAGGGATATAAAATGAGGACCATCTCTTAAGGCAAGGTGGGTCACCAGTGAGGTCTTGAAGGAATCCAGAGGAGAGGGGCACTCCAGGTTTGACAGAGATACATCCTTCAAGTACAGCCAAGTGCGAATGGGATTAGCTCTGCTTTTGAAATTCTAAGGTGGGTCTCATGTCAGGAGCTTGGATTCTGATCCTCAATTTCAGTGGTTAGCTTAGCACGTACCCTGACCGAATCTTTAACTTCTCTCTACCTCTTTAAAACATCTGGGATTTGGGGAAAACAATTGCAACTATTACCCCACACCTTACTGACAAGCTTATAATTCCTTTGTCTTTTTTGAAATGGCTTTTAAGCAATAAAAGCCATTTCTAATTGTTAAATACATTTTGAGTGATTGTCATTTTAAGTAATTTGTATTAGGCATATAGGGAAATACATCTGTTAATCTTCCCAAGTTCTCCAGTGTTTGTTGGGTGTGTAATATACTCTTTACTCTGGGCAGAAGTATGGTTCACAATGCCCGTCTCAGCTCCTTCAGAACAAGGGGAAAATGTAAGTTTGTAACTCAGCAGCCCAAGTGGGGAGGGACAGGACCTCAGGCTCTATAACACTCCAGCCTACCACTCTACCTGCCAGCTTGCATTGTTCTCACTGATGTGTGGCCATCAGTCTGTGTGTGTGACCACTGATTTATTCCTAGGAATTGTTAAAGAGCTGACTTTTCAGATTGACCCTGATGAATAAATCAGATCATTTGAGGTCATGACAGCATATCATGCGCAAACATTGTTGCTTACATTCCAACATGCCTTTTTGAGTGGTTGAAAAACAACCAAAATTTCAACGAGTATTGTGTAATATATAAAACAGTTCAGAGCTACTCAGCTGCAACGGGGGAATACTTGAAGAAGAGAACTTTGGTTTACCTTTCCTGGGATTTGTCAGTATCTGCAGCAGCACAGTTCATCACAGGGAAGAGACCAGCAATGGTTGACCCGAGACCCTGGAAGACTCCAGACCTATCTTGATGTTCCCTCAGCCTTGGGTGGCACCTCCCCCACACTTCCTGAACTTAACAGAGTTTATTACCAACTTGAATGCCACTCTCCTTGAAAACTCACTGCATGGTCAACACTAACTTTTCCTTGCCTATGCTGGAATTCATTGCATACAGCAGTCACTGGTCTTTGCCCAGTCTGCATTCCTCAGAGCCACAACACCCACAATAGTGTGTTAGGAAGACTGACAAGAGACAGCAGCCCCAGGAACCTAGGCGGCTAGAGCGAGGCTGGAGCGGTCACGGAAGAAACTTGGGCTTCAGTGAGTCAGCATGTAGGAATCCTCCCAGGAAGGGGCTGTGGAGTCCAAATTAAAAAGAAGATTGAGGAGACTTATAAAATGCTGAAGACAGAACCTGGTAAATACTAGAAGAGGAACCTGATAACAGTAAATCAGTAAATGAGGCTGGACTTAGGGCTAAAATATGAATGAATTTTATTGATGCCAGTTTAAAAAAAAAAATCCCTAGCAAAGAGATGTAGCCAAGAAAATGGTAGAAACTTAATTACACATTGTACAAGTCTGAACCAAGAAGGCTAAGTTTGTGGAATAATGGAAAATAGAAAATAAACATTCCAAGAATAAAGTAAGAAAATGTGGGGAAGCATGAATTTAACCTGGACAGGGAGAAGCTGTGGGAGGAGTTAAGAACACACTCTCATACTTGTAGCCTTGAGTTCAAATGCCGCCATACTAAAATGCTGTATACCCATGAACAAACTCTACCTTTTCTGTGCCTGGATTTCCCCATCTGCCAAGTAGGAAAATAGCCAGTGCATAATGTGAAAACTAAAAGAGTTGCTAGGAGTGCTGCTGTGGTACATATAAAATGTGAAAGATCTAGTTGGCCATTTATTTGAAATTAATAAAGAACTTTAGGATGGCCTTATCAAATCCTAGGATTCCACAGATGAGCAAACAGTGTCATTACATGGTCTTTATGAATACTTTAAACTCAAGTTACTATATCTAGTCTTTCTAGACCATTCTTTGGTGGGTTTCATGTATTTAAATCTTGTTTTCTGTATGAGTCATAGATATAGGAACTTGGTTTTGATCTTGTGCCTTTTAACAATGGTAAGCACACATGACAGAGCTTGCTAGATGATTGTTGGATTTTTAATACAGAATTTTTAATTTACCTCAATAACAACAGTTCATATACCAGCAGTTAGGAATGATAAGTCTTTTGTGCTTTATAATGCCACTCTGGAAGGTAGGTGACCCTGGTGGAAAGGTCCCAATAATATAACAGAAAAAGCAACTTAGGAAGGGGACATTTTGAGCCACTCCTTGATTTCTTTAGCTGTGGTGAAGAGAAGGATGATGAGAGAAAAGAGGTACTGCCTGCTGCCCTCTGGAGGAGTCTCTAATACAGCCAGAGCCCACACTAACTTGCAACAAGACCCAACTTCAAGTTCCTCTTCTATAAGATGAGATTCTCGGGCTGGAGAGATGGCTCAGAGGTTAAGAGCACTGGCTGCTCTTGTAGAGGACCTGGGTTCCATTCCCAGCTCCCTCATGGCAGCTAACAACTGCCTGTAACTCCAGTTCCAGGGGTTCCGATGCCCTCTTCTGACCTCCACGGGCATTGCATGACACTGGTGCACTTACACACATGTAGGCAATACACACATACACATAAAATAAAACTGATAAATAAAAATTTAAAAATAAAGATCTTAACAGCTACCACACTCTGCTGTTGGGAATGTCATAGAGGAGGCATATGCAAATCAGTCTGAATGAGTTCTGCCAATAACCCCCTTTATTGCATGAAATAAATCATACTGCCTCAATATAAAAGTGTGTGCCTTTGGATGCCAGCCATTGGGGAGACAGGACCTTCATAGACCTGACTGTAGCTCAAGACCCCTAGTGCTGTAATGTGTCATGTTAGACCTCTTGTTGGAGCTGCATTTCTAGCACCTGGATCCATCCCATAATGCTAAGGCAAGGTGCAGAATGCTAACTTCAGGGTACTTCCTTTGTTTAATCAGCTCCCAAGCTTCCCATGGCAACTCAAGGTGAGATCTAGTTTTATGTAGGAGGCCAGTTTCATTAGTCATCTTCCAAAATCTTGTTGCTTTGGACATTGAGGACAGGACAGCTGTCTTCTAAAATCCCTCTACTAGCTTGGTTTCATGATGTGAGTACCTCCTGTTTTTTCTCCACTGGTTCAAGAGCACTTTTATTTTGGTAAGTATGTGTAAATTTTTACCATCTTACACCATTTTAACTGTATGGTTAAGTAGTGCTAAGTATATTCATATTGCTGCACAAGCAGTATCCAGAACTGTACATCCTCACAAACCAAACTTCTATGCCCACCAATCTGTAACTCTCCGTTTCCTTTTACTAGTAGACCCTAGCAGATAGTTCCCATTCTCCTTTCTGGCTGTGAATACAACTGTTCTGTGCACCTTATTTAAGTGAGATCATATGGTCATGTCTTCAGTTTCTACACATAAGTTGGCCTCATATTTCTATCACCAGTGCAGATGTGTCTACTGAGACCAAGCTCACTAGAACAGCTCCCTACCCATACTGCCCTATTACTAGTAGACCCTAGCAGATAGTTCCCATTCTCCTTTCTGGCTGTGAATACAACTGTTCTGTGCACCTTATTTAAGTGAGATCATATGGTCATGTCTTCAGTTTCTACACATAAGTTGGCCTCATATTTCTATCACCAGTGCAGATGTGTCTACTGAGACCAAGCTCACTAGAACAGCTCCCTACCCATACTGCCATTCCCCCCACATCCCATGTCTGAAAGAATGGCTCTAGCATTTACCTTGCTGAAGTCTAGGGCACTCTTTTCCTTCCTAGTATCATTTTTACTGTATGGTTTGTAATGTTACCCTTTCTCCCTGAAAAATGATTTTCTTCACTCATTCCAAGTGTTTCAGATGGCCTTCCAACTTAAGACTAAGTGACCTGTAGTCCTCAGCCTATCAGAAAATCATAATAGGCTTTACACAATTAGGTCCTAAGTCACTGGGTTCCTACAACAACCCTATGATCCTGTGATTAAGGTGCTAGTAGTTGGCAGATGAGAAAACTGAGTCACAGGTGACTTGATCAAATCTTCATAGCTAGGACTCACTCAAACTCTGCTCCAAGACCCTATACATGACCATTACCTAATGTGCTACACCTCTCACAATTATGCAAATATAGAACTGAAGACCTTTAGAAATGCCTGAAAGGCATGACATAGCCTGGGAGTCAGAAATCTCCAACAAAATCAGATCTGGGCATTTCTTGCATTGGTTTGCCAAAGCTTGCCATATGGTAATGATGGAAGAAGGAGCATTGGATCACAAAGTGCAAGAGAAAAGGCCAGCAGGAAGGGTTGGCATAGGATGGCCCCAATTCCTGGGTAAACCTGATAGTCACAAAGATTCAACTTCTGTTCTCTCAATGACAGGCCTCTCTGCCTTTGGCAAGCTTGTCATTACACCTGCCAGGGTGAGACCTTATGCCCAGGACCAACACAGTAGGAGTCATAATTGCCTTGGTTTTCCCAGTGGCTGTCCAGAAACCGTAACAGAGTATGAAAGTACCTGTGGATTAACACTCCATGAAGAGACAGTGCTGTGTGGGACCTCTGAGGATGTCTAATATTGCCATGGACCAACGATGCTGTTTATGAAGCCACAGAGAACTTGGCAATGAATTTCTTTCTGCTTCAACTTTGTTTCCTCTTGAGTTGCTGTCATAAGATTGTACCCTCATAATGCATTACCATATCAACTGCCTTTCTCAGTTTCCAGGCAAAAGCACTTTTCTATGGAAACGTAGCAGTTACTTCCCCAGCCAAATAATTACCTTTACACATTCCCCCATGGAAGACCCTAATTTATGAGCACCACCACCACCATCACTGCATGATGCCTACGATGTATTATTGGGAAAAACTGTTAAACCCAAATCTAATTTCCAGACTTCATTTGCAGGGAGATACATACTTAAACATAGATAGCACCAGGAACCAACTAGATAAACCAAGAATATGCAGCCTTCTTTAAGTTAGCTGTCCAGATTTTTTAAAAGTCAATTCTATAGGTCAAAACCAAATAGAAGGAAAAGTGGGAGAGATTCTCCAGGTTAACCTCCAGGTGGGTGGGACCCTCAAACCTTTGTTGTATCATGGAAGAAAGTTCCATTAAAAAAAAAAAAACTTTACAGGACAATTAAGAAATTTAACAAGTGACTTGGGGAGGGACAGTGAGATGACTCAGGAGGCGGGGGAGCTTGTACCCACCTGATGACCTGAGCTTGATCCCCAGAACCCACATAGTGGAAGGTGAAAGCTGATCCTGCAAGTTGTCCTCTGACCACCACACGTGTGCTGTAGCAGACAAGTGCCCATGCACATACACAGACAAACTTTTAAATGGCTTGAGTATTAGTTGTGATTATTAATAGAATAGTTGCTGTTTCTTAGGTGTCATAGTATAATCATTGTATAAGCAATTGTCTTATATCAATATCAGTAATCATTGTGTCATCTCTACAATATGTTTTTAAGATACTTATTTTTTTATGTGTATGAGTGTTTTGCTTGCATTATGTAAGTGTACCACATGCACGCAGTGCCCGTGGAGGTGAAAAGAGGGCGTTGGGTTCCCCTGGAACTGGAGTTATGGATGGTTGCTAGCCACCATGTGGATGCTGGGATTCAATCTCGGGTCCTCTGCAAGAGTAGCCAGTGCTCTTAACTGCTGAGCCATCTCTCCAGCCCCATATAATACATTTTTAATGGTATATATCCATATGTTTGTGGGAAGGAAGAAAGAATGCAAATCTGATAAATCTAAGTCAAAGGCATTTATCTAGTCTTTTGACACTTGAGTATTTGAAATGTTTTATAATCAAAAGGAGGAAGATAAATACAATGAAAAAACTGGGCCAAAGGTAAGACATACTCCTGTTTGAAGGGATCTGTTAACCATCTTATTTTCTTCAACCAGTTTCATGTTAGTAGCCAATACTTTATCAGAGGCTAATTCATGCACCTCATAGTGGATATTCACACTCAAATTGCTATGCTCTCAAAAGCTTTTTACTTCTTCTGTATCTCTAGCAATTTCCCAGGTAGAAAAAAATAGATGTTATTTCTGCACAGCAGATTTCCGTTGGCAGAGATAATCAACAAGTAGTTCAGAGATTTGCTTCCCAATGAAAAGCCGCACTCAGCTTTCAGAGTGAGGTGGAAGCAATGGAGCTCTGCAGAGACAGTATCCTTCACCAGTAGATTTCCATTGTTCTGGTAAGAGCCTCTTTTCCATGCATTCCAAATCTTGTATAGGATCCAAATTGGAACATCATTCTCTGTATCTGTATTGGCTGAAGACAGACATGAAGAGATGGCCCAGTGGTTAAGAGCACTGACTGCTCTTGCAGAGAACCTGGGTTCAATTCCCAGCACCCACATGGAGGCTATAAACTGCCCTTAACTCCAGTTCCGGGGGAATCCGAAGCCCTCTTCTGAGCTCCGTGGCATTGCAAGATACATGATGGCTAACAACCATCTGTAACTCCAGTTCCAAGGGATCCGCTGCCCTCTTCTGACATCTGCAGGCATTGCATTACACAGGTGCACTTACATGTGCAGGCAATACACTCACACATAAAATAAAAATAATAAAATATTTTTTAAAATATTTTTAATGCATGGTTATTTCAGGCTTCTGATATTAGCACCACGCCTACTCAATGTGAAAACTTCCCTAACTTGTTTTATGAATATTTTGTTTTGTTTGACCCAGATTTCTATCATTGTCATCCTCCTGTACCTCCACCTGTCCTTCATTCCCAAGATGCCTCCAGGCAGGTGTGTTCCTGCCCTGCTGCCCTCATTTGACTGATGGATTGCCAATCTCTTCCCCCCATGACACATTCCTGGGAAACCATTTTACATTATATTCATGTAACTAAGCTAGCTAGCTGTGCTCTGAATTCCTACAGGCTCCTCTCCTGCTGGAGTTGTTTCTGCTGTCCTGGGAGCAGCTCTTCTCGTATCTGTTGAAAGCTTGTAGTTCACAAATGTTCTTCCTTCCCATCTCTGATAATGAAAGTAACCCTGCAATTTAAGCCTGAGCTCATGGCAGGCAGTCCCCAAATCTTAGTGGCTTATTTTAAAAAGGGGGAAGGGGAGACATTAAAGACATTCAGTTTTCTCACGTCAGAGGCAGTGTGCTTGGGCTATGGACCAGTTTGGAGCTGTGTCCCTTATCTCTGATCCTCTGCATCAGTGGCTGCCCAACCAGGCTCAACCTGTGGAGGATGGTAGCAGTGCTGGTGCAGCAAGCAGAAACAATACCTTAGCTCACTTCAAGGTCTCAGCTCACAACTGACACACTGTGGCTTCCACTTACATTCCATTGCCCAGAGCCCACATCAGTGGGATGAGGGAATACTTTCCACCTTGGAGAAATGACAAGCTAAACCAAATGTGTCTGTTTTGTATCCTGAATGATAGTGATTATACAAATCTACACATGATAAAATTATATGGAACTAAATATATAAGAATGCAAGTAAAACTGGGCAAATAATACACAAGATCTTAGGGGATAATGTCAATTTCCTAGTTGTGACCGTATACTATGAATTTACAAGGTATTATTGAGGAACAACAAGGGGAGGCTACACAGGATCTAGTCTTTCCACTGTCTGCATGTGACTCTAAAGTACCTCAAGAGGAAAACAAAAACTTGATCCTTGGTTTCGTGCTTATAGTCTAAGAAGAAATCACAAGACTAAAAAAAAATTAAAAGTCATTAATAACTTGGTCAGGCAGCAGCCCAGCGTCACCCATCCCAATGACAATAATGTCCTGACTGATATATGGCAAAGTAACTACAAAGGAATTAAAAGGGGAGCTGCCAGGCAAGAAGCTTAGCTTGAACTGTGAAGCAAGAGTGGTCCAACATCCTTTTCTCTTTAAGCATCCATGTTATTTGTCATCTAACTTGAGACACTTTTCAAAATAATTTAGACTGGAACAACTTATGTAGTAAACTAAGTTGGTCAATCTTCCTTTAATTCATTGTACTGTTTACTCTGTTATACCAACTTAGTCTCTTCTGACCAGAATGAAGGTCAGTGGATGTCTTATTAGTCAAAGTGGAATAGGTAAGTATAGATAACAAATCCCAAACCTTGGTTGGTGACTTTGCGTACTTAAAAGTTTGTGTCTTGCTCATGCAAAGTATTGCGTGGTGTTTGTGCTCCTCTCCTATCTTCAATTATTTGATTATGTACCTCTTGCATTGCTGAAACAATGGACGAAAGAAATAAAAGGCAACATGAATTGTGGGCCAATCCAGGAAGTAGCTTACATCTCAGTCTTCACTAGCCAGCAGTTGGCACCTGCTTGTCTAGGTGTTCTAGACAAGCTACTAGACAAGCTGGTTCATCCTAGAGTTGAAGAGTTACAGGCAGTGTGCTACACGACTGAGCCCATGTATCAGAAAACGAGGGAATCTTCAGCTCCCCGATATATTTTAGATAAGGCTTTTTGTCCTGAACCAATAGGATGGGGAACCTAAGGAGGGTGCATTGCTAGACATCATGAAGATTGTACCTCCCTGCAGAACTGGCCAATGAGACATTCAGGGGCAGAGAAATGTAGTCAGAGACCATAAAAACCACCACTTTTCACCAAATCAGTCCACCAGCTATTTTTGCCTTTTTTCTTGCCTGACATCCAACTTTGCAAGGTTGAAAATAACCTGTCTCACTTTTGCTACTGCGAATTTCCAGTACTCTTATTATAAAGTGAGGATCATTGTTCTCACACCTGCCACCATGTGTATGCTGCTCACATTACAGTCCCCTCGCCATCTGATGCTTTGGTTAGCAGTTACCTGTTGTAAGATGCTTTGCCTTCCTACTTTAAAATACTTTTAGTTTATTTTTGAGAATTTCATGAGTATTGTCTGCATTATTTCCATCCCTCCCAGTCCTCCACAAACTGCTCCCATGTCCCCTGACTCCCTCTCAATTTCTTGCCCTCTTCTTTGATTATTATTATACATACATACATGCATTTATAAACATATATAATGCACTGAGTCCATTTAGTGTGCTTGTGTGTTCTTGTGTTTAGGGCTGTCCATGTTAGAAAACTTCTCAGGGAGCTTATCCATGGAGGAAACTGATTCTCCCTCCCTCAGCATCCACTGATTGCCTGTGGCACTTCATCTGGAGGTGGGACCTCATGATATTCCTCCATCCACCTTGGCGTGTAAATTGATTTTGTCATTATGCAGATCTCGTTAGACTCCCATACTGTGGAGATTGGTGCAGCTTCCCTATTGTGTCTAGAATGGAATAGCTAGCATCCAGTGTCTTGTTCCTCTGGCTCTTACATTCTTTCCACTCTCTTCCGAGATGTTTCCTGTGCCTTAGGTGTAGAGGTTGCATTGTAGATGTGTCACTTAAGGCTGGGTACCTCACACTTAGTCTTTGCATTTGACCAGTTGTGTAACTTTGTAATAGTCTCCATCTGTTGCAAAAAAGAAGCTTCTTTGATGAGTGGTGGGAGGTACACTTGTCTGTAAATATAAGGATATGTATTTAGAATACAGTTAGAAATTACATTGGTCTAGGGAAATGACAGAGTAGGTTTTTCTCTAGGATGTATGACCTCTGCAGCCGTGTGTACTTGACTGTGTTAACAGTACTATGCATGATTTCCCTCCCATTGAGTGGACCTTAAGTCCAATTAGACAGCTGTCGATTACCTCCAAGATAAAAGTGCCTCTACTATACCAACATAGATCATTTGCTGGGCCAGTCATTGTTTACAGCTAGGTAGGATGACTGGTTGGTTTTCTCTCTTGGCAGCTTGCATAGTATCCTCTGGTGTCATGAGAGCTAGTCTTCAGAGAGGTGGCTTGCAGGTCAGTTCCAACTCCTTTGCTCCAAGTCCTGCCTCCAAAATATATTGTGTCTTTGACAATAGGGTCTTACCTTCAAGCTCTGGGAGGCAATCAAGAATTGGGACAATAACCTGTATTATTTTGGGAGTCTCTTGGATTACCCCAACCAACAACTCAAAGGGAGGTTTCCCACACCTGGCACTCTGATCTTTGTTATATAGCCATCAATTATACATACATGTACTCACATTTATATGTGTATTTTCCCATACACTTATTAAATACCACATTTACCTTTGGTTTTCACACCACTTAAAGCATTATCTCTCTTTCCTCTCTCTGTATAACCCCCCTTCTCCCTCCCCAGTTAAAGTACCCCCATTTTCTCCATTTCCCCCTTGATAACTCTTGTTTCTTACTATCCCCCTTTCTTGAGCTCATCCTTACCCTTGTCCCCCTTGGTTACTTTCCATTTCCCTGGCTCCTGTGGTTATAGAATGGTATGTACTCATATCTAAGGCTTTGGCGTTAGGATCCACAAATGAGAGAGAACAT